TTGGGGCCGGAGCTGGTCGTAACCCGAAAAATTCGCAAGCAGAGGCGTTCGTATCCCGAGGTATCACTGTACATACATTTATGTTACATAACCTTGAGGACCACTATAAAGTGCATAGAGGTACAGACTTTACAAATCACTGTGTTAAAGAAACAAAAATATTGCTTCATTGACTATAAGATTTCAGTTTTAATTTTTGTTTTATAATCACTTGAGCCACAAATTCCTATTAGTTGCTCTTTATCTAATAATTTGTGATGTATTCTGGGTGGTATACATGTAAAAATTGTTGTTTGGAAATTGGAACCTAGTTTTAATCTCATGCATTTTCCTTTTCCTTCTTCTACTTTCTAGTCCAGTTTCTCTCTCTTTCCCTTATTTGTCTTAATCTTGATTATTTCATCAATATTAATTGTGGGTGATGTTGTAATTTTAAATGATAGTAGAAGAAAAGTAAGAGAGAGAACATTTTTGTTGGAAAGGGGAGAAAGGAAAGAAATGTATGTTCTTGAATTTAGTTTCTCATTTGACAATGATGGTTTGTAAGAAGCCATTATTTTCTTTTCTGTTGTCAAGATATTACTGTGCCTCAGATACATTTATATCTTGCAGCATTACCTTGCCTGTTGGAGCTGTGTTAGGATTTGACATTGAATGGCCAGCCATCTATGCTAAAGGGAAGGAAGGAAAAGTTGCCTTAATCCAGCTGTGCGAGTCTGAAACCAAATGTTACCTATTTCACATCTCTTCCATGTCAAGTCAGTACTATTCTATTTGATCTCTAAGCAAGTCAGATGTATTAGGATGCCTTTTTGCATAAATTCTCAGCTAATTTGCCTGTGTTTTCAAACCTTTATTTTATAATAAAGGTGCTGATTGTCACATTTAAAGCCCTACCTGGCATGGAATCAGGCTTCTTGTGGGATCATTTTTCCTGGTGGTTTCTGCCTGCCCCATGAGATCTGACAGAGTGGGCATGCTCTGGGTACCCTTGGTGAAACAGTGCCTCAGGAAGTGTGCCTTCTCTGTCATGGTGCCTGTCATTTGGAACAGCCTCCCCCCACCCCCCTCTTGAGAACCAGACAGCTCCAAATCTATTGGCCTTTTGAGAGGGTGTGAAGAGCTGGCTCTTCCCCCAGCAATTGGGGCTGGGATGTTAGTTATGGGAGCTCAGGTACGGGAATGTTAGTGCAGATTTTATTGGCCTTGACTTGCTTTGTTTCAGTTTTGTTTTAATGGAATGTTTTGCTTTTTTATTTTCTACTTTGTTAGTCACCTAGGGTTTCCTTGGATAAATGGGTAGCCGTATAAATTGGATTAATAAATAATAAATAAAATAAATGTTTGTAGATCCCCTGACTTGGAAGTATACTACTGCACATTTATGAAAAAATATTCTTGAACCTTCGTTGTCCAAATTTTGCACCCAAAGCAGCTGAACATGTTTAAATCAAATTAAATTAAGCAGCTGTTTTTTACTTTCTCTGAACAGGAACATTGTCCCCATGGCATCTGAAGAAAATATGGAATCCTTTCTCCCTCCCCCAAAGAAATTGTATCATTTAGATACAGATGGAGTGGGCTAAGTAATGCTAAAGAAACCCAGGAGAAGCTTTTGCCATGCTAAACTATAAATATGGCATACTCAAGCCAAGGTCTCTGCCATTGCCACCACTTGAACCTAGGAGGCTTCTAGGGCTTAGGGAAATAGTGGAGGGAAATCTGACTTTGGAATTTGTTCTATAGCAAGAAATATCTTGCCTTGATTTTTTAAATTTTAAAACTCATCCGATATGGTAGGTAGTTTATGTGTTCATATGCTCGAAAATAGTGTCTTCCCATTGTGCTTTGTTCCCCAGTCACAGTTTATTATTTTTTCTGAACAAAAAAATTAGTGTCAGTAGATAATTTTGGAGCCAAAACATTTCTCTGGCTATGGAGTTTTTTCCCCCCTGTGATTTATCTATCTGTTCATGGTATCTTAGTTTTTGAATAATATTCATGCCTCTTCTCTTTCTTGGCTAAATTAATGAGTAGTTAAAGTGGATAATTTATGTGTTGACATTCCTTCTGACTGAAGGAAAATGGTCTAATATATTTTTATATTTATTTACTTATTTGTAAGACTACTATTAACATATGTAGTTCTTGATTTTGTTGATCCTTACAAAGTCCATTTTGGTAAGTAACTTTATAGAAAACTGGGTCTGAGTAACTGGGAATGTGGTCAGATTTGCTTTTCCAGTCTGAGCAGGAATTCCAAACAGGCCTATCTATTTCATGTCTCTTCTCCAGAAATCTCTAGATCTTTAAAGCCCTTTACCATGCTTATTTGGTGTATGTTTGTATGTATGTATGTATGTATGTATGCGTATATATGTGTGTGTGTGTATGTGTGTATGGTAAATGTATAGAATTTACTGTAACATATATTTGTTGTTGTTCAGTCGTTAAGTCGTGTCCGACTCTTCGTGACCCCATGAACCATATTGCGCCAGGCCTTCCTGTCCTTCACTGCCTCCCTGAGTTTGCTCAGTTTCATGGTCATTGCTTTAGTGAGGCTATCTAACCATCTCATCCTCTGCCGTCCCCTTCTCCTTTTTTTTTTGCTGTTTGTTCCACCTTAGCCTGCCTTAATTGA